CTTGTTCTCCTTATCAAACACACAATTGCGTTGTCCATCTTATCTGGTATAGGCTACTGATGGTGTATTGGCAATCACGTCCACACGGATGCGGGAGTTTGTAGCTAGTTGTAGTTGCCTGCCAAACAAGCCTTTCCCATCCTAAGTGGTCCAGGTTTAAAATCCATCAAGTGACATGTCTCCCAAATAGTCCACAGCCCACAGTTTCAACTGCTTCTGAGAGCCCCCACTTGCCAAGCAAGCCACATCAGTTCGCCTTGCCCTCACCTTGTTGTGTGACCCATATCAAATGGTTCAAACCATACCGAGGGGCGCGGCGAATATAGAATTGTTCGGATGTGAGTCTCTTCAAAGGGCCGGTGAAAGAATACATGACTTGTTTGAAGGCGAAAAGTGATAAGTGGAACAGGATTGACGTGCTTCCTATAGTCCATTCACTGACCATGGATGTCATCATACACGCTCCTACATTGCTCGAGTCACACACACACCCGACCCCGGACGACAATGTGCAAAGCAGGCCCTTCTTGTGTGACAGGATTCGTCAGGATGCCCTTGAAACCAAAAAACAAACCCTACAAGTACCAAACACACCGATGATTGATTGGCGCGGGCTTGTGAACTATAGGAGCTTGGTTTCTTGGACCAGAATGGCGCACGAGCTCATTTGGGAGCACATGTTCCTGGGCACGGAGCTGCCCGTGCTTGAGCCCGGCAGCGCGCTGCCGCAAGGGAGCGAGCCGGGGGACTGGTTGCTGCTGCCGCCTAAGCAGGTCCAGCGGATCGCGGCAGGGGATGCAGATATTTGGGTGAACCCTGGTGGGCAGGCGGTGTTGCGGTGGGACTACGTCTCTACGCACGACGTGTCAAACGTGCGCAGCATGCTGTATGTACACAGGAGGACCGGAAACTTCATGATGGTGCGCGGATTCCCCAACGTGCCGGTCATTCTGACTGTGAACGCTGCGCATCAACCATCGGCGCACACCCTGCTCGTTGAGGCGCTCACATGTGGGGGCGAGGTGGTGAGGCGGGTGGGGTTCCATGCCAATCAGGCGCCGATCCACTTGGCGACTCTGGCCTGGCTTTGCAAGGACACGCTGGCCAGCAAGGGCAGGATCAGCCTTCAGACAGAGCTGCGATTCATCGGCAGCCGCAGCCACGCGCCCATGTGCCCGGTCTTGTGGGCGCCATTCACCCAGCGCAAGCCGACACGCCGGGTGATCAAGAAGATGCCGCGGGCCACAGTGCTCCTTCACGAGGCGTGCTTTCCGCCAGCTATCCTGGACGTGGCCATGGTTGAGCAGGTCTTCCGCAGCGACTCCTCGGACGACGGCGTGCCGTAGTGAGCGCATCCATGGTGATCAAGGGTAGGCTGCAGTCACGAGCCTTCCCAGACTTTGGACTGCACATGATCATAGACTGAAAATATGTCAGTTTGCGCCAGCGTGTTCCATGCATCTGTGATAGCAAGAGGCAGGCATATAGGCAGTAGTCAACAGCCGTTTGAGGGAGCAAGCGCCTGCACTCATTCATGCATGGCATGTTGCATCAAATAATTTGCAAGAGCTTGATCAGAGACCACAGAGTTTGTCAAAAGGAAAGGCAGGGCGTTCGCTCGCTGACGCAGGGCACTCAATTGCTCGCGAAACATGAGTCATGCATTGTCCTGTCCGGCTCTGGATGTAGACTAGCTGCCCTAGGACTGTTGCTGGTGCGCCATTGACCATGACCTCAGCCGAGCTTGTGGGAGGCGAGCTGGGAGAGGTGCAGAAGTACTTGGTGGTGCAGAAGGGTTGCCTGGGTGACAACTTTGAGCCCGTCCGCTCCCAGCAGGCTGCCAACTGGAAGTTGAGGCTGGCCAGCATCAGCGGGCTGGCCGCGGCGGAGGCAGGCACGCTGGTAAGCCTGATTGGCACTGGGCCGTGGACAGACGAGGAGAAGCTGCAGCTATCCTCCGCAGTGAACCAGTCCCTCCTCGCATCGAGCGGTGTGTCAGGTTCCAGGCGCCGGCCCAACCAGAATCTGGATGACATAGGGCCCTACTTGACTGCCGGTGACTTGGGCATGCTTGCGGATGGGTCGGCGGCTTCCTTGAGCAAGCTAGACGTGCTTGCCCAGAGAATGACAAACCTCGGGTTGCATCTCCCCACTGAGAGCACATACAGGAATGTCCTTGCTGTGGCACGCAGCAAAGGGTTGGCCGCGGAGGACGCCAAGACAATGTACACCTTTGTCCTGGAGCTCAAGCGCCTCGTCAAAACCAAGGCCAAAAAAATGGGTGCTTGCCAACCACACATTGTGGCGTACCCGGCGCACCCCAGTGAGTTGCCACAGTCAATCTTCTCCGGTGCCTACACTGAGGCTGACCCACCCCTTGGAGGGCCTTCTGGGGTGGCAATGTGTGACAGCCAAGTTGCCCTGAGGCGCAGCAACAAGCTGGTGCGGCTGGACACCAACAGCATCATGCCCTTCCAGCAGTCAGCAAGCTCATCCAGCGGGGGGAACATGGACCCTCTCATGGCAATCTTCAGTGCGCTCCAGCAGTTCATGCCAAACCAGCAACAGCAGAAGTCCGAAGGGCAGGTCAAGGGGCTGACCATCTTCAAGGCTGCAGCAAACGGCCAAAGTAGCGCTCGAACACCAAGCATGACCGCACCTGCCAAACCGGTGATGCCTCTGGTGGATGACACCCTGCCAGATGCATCTCAGAAAGCAAGTTCTTCAGGCGCGGCTGACCCAGCAAAGGCTGCCAACTCGGCAGCTGACGAGACGGTGGAGCCCATGGAGTTGCCCTCACTTGTTGGGGTTGAAGAGCAGTCCGAGCTTGTCCTCAAAGCGCTCGCAGACCGAAAGAAAGCTAATGAGGTCAAGAAGCCTGCCCCTAAGGCGAAGGGCAAAGCAAAGGCAAAAGGCAAGGCGCAGGCAAAGGCCAAGGCGGCGTCAGCCAAGACAGTTACCAAAACTGTTGCCAAAACTGTTGCCAAAACAGGTGCCAGCAAGGTTGTCCACACCAAGCGCTGTAAGCCCGAGATGCCGGATGAAGGCGCACCGACAATCTGGTATGAGCAGGGGAAGATTCACACGTCCGGGAAAGAGAAATGCTGGCGTGTCTTTCTTCGCTCCACCGACAGGGTCGACAGGAAGGTCAAGTGGGGCGACAACCCTGCTGAGCGCTGGCTCAATTGCCTGAAGGCCATCGAGAAGGGTGAGTGGTAGCCTGTTGGTAGGTGTGGGGCGTCACTGCTGCCAACAAGCCTATGTATGTTTAAGAGCTTTTGCGCACAGGGGTCTTGTGAGTCATGCATGTTTGTACCAACATAAGCTTGTTTAGTACATGGCACAAGTAAATGTTGCAGACAACCTTCACACGTCCCAAACTCCAGAACTGCAATGCCTGGAAATGTACTTGAAGCATTCGTTTGTTGACTGGCAGTGCGATCGCAGCTCCTGACAGGGGTTGTAGGGCTACAGGGGTTGCCGTACCAAACATCGACCCGTCCTGGTGCGAAAAGGGAGTTGATGCATGCCCTGAGCCGCGTTTATAAAGGTCCTCTACTGAATAACCACGAACTCTGTGGGAACTAGTTCAGAGAAGCCCCTAAAGTTGTCTGGGTTGTGGTAAACATGACCTTATGCATGGTCAAGACACGTATCCATCATAACATGCATCTCAACTGTACGGAAATCCGAAACTGCTTGACCTCAGCTGATGCCAAGGCCGGATGCACCGACTGGCCAGACCCTCCCTGAAGCCTGCTGGAGGTGCTTTCGTGCTGCTTCTGGAATGGTCAGGGTTGTTTTGAGCACACATCACGGAGAGCTTGCAAAAGCATAGCTGGAAACAAACTTTTTTTGGCAACTCCTCGAGTGAATTCACTGCGAGCTACTAGCCCTGCAGAAGCGAGCTTTGTAGAGCCCTGCTTTTTCCTTTTGAATTGTCAACAGATCATGGCGAGCTGGAAGCCCTGCTTGTTCTATCGGATCCCATGCGTGGTTACATGTGTCAGGAGCAAAGTATTCAGGGTGGCAATGCTGGGCTTCTTTCTCAATACGTTATAGGCTCTTCAGTTGAACCTTGGCACTCAGTCAATCCAATCACGGACAGCTTCTGGATTGTCGATCTGCTTGCATGCCCTACGTAGCGAGCTGGAAGCCCTGCTTCTTGTTGCAGACCCCACGCATGGTGAGATGTGTCAGCCGCGAAGCATTTAGGGTGAAACTGTTTAATTCTTTGTAGGGCTTCAGTTGAACATGGACACCCAATCAGTCCAAGATCTGCGTGCGCAGGATCAAGCTTATACCGATTGCCGTTGCAGCATCCCCACCCTGTTCTGACATGGATCTGCAAGTGCAGGGCTCATAGGAGCTCGCAGCGCGCAGGGCAATGAGCTCGCGTGCCTCTCATGGCCGGGAGCTCTCGTGATATTTTCGTATCCACCTGCCAGGGACCGTATGTGTCGCAAAGCGCGCTGGTGTCTATCCTTCGCAAAGTGCGCGACGATGGATTGCCAGCGTCCTTCAGCAGAAAGAGTGTCAAGCGTGCCCGCGATGCAGCCCTCCCAGACACTACGCCTCTAGGACCTCTCTGGGGACACGTGACAGTGGAGACAACAGCAGGTGGACAAAGACAATTTCCTGTGGCTCTCCCGATGCCAATGCTGTGGCTGCATGCATCTGAATGCGCGGGCTTCGCCCGATTTTTGGCTCACAAACTTGGTGAGCATCCTAACTCAGCGCGCAGCCGCTGGAATGTAGCACTATATGCAGATGAAGTGCTACCCGGAAATGCTCTGAAAGCTACGAACCTCAGGAAATTTATTTCCTTTTACTGGAGCTGGTGTGAATTTGACAGCGCCCTGGGATCTGAATCGGTGTGGTTTCATTTATGTTGCCTGCGCGTTTCCTTTCTCAAGGACATCAAGTGCGGCATATCGCAACTGTTCAAGCAATTGACCCGCCTCTTTTTCACGGCGCCTACCAGCCTGAGGGACGGAGTCATGCTTTCCATCGGCCAGAGCTCGGCGATGTTCTTTGGGCAACTGGGCCTTGTGGTAGCTGATGAAGTTGCCCTGAAACAGCTTTGGAGTTTCCGAGGGGCTTCTGCAACATTGCCCTGTTTCTTTTGTCGAAATGTATGCAGCTGGTCGTCGCAACTGCACGAGCACGACGACTCCGGCAGTCTGGTGCCTTTGACGGTCTCAACTCTTGATGCAGTTGTGCAACATACAAATGAGACCTTGCTGGAGGCAGCTTCCTTGCTGCTCCGGAGGAAGCCAGCCCTTTCCAAGACGGCCTTCACTTCTTTGGAGCAAAGCGTGGGCTTGACCTTCAGCCCAGAGGGCGCGTTGTGGAGCAATGGCCTTTTCAATGACATGAGAGGAGGCGGGCCATTGACATGCACCCAGTACGACTGGATGCATTGCTTCCTCGTGTCTGGAATTTGGAACACGGAGGCGGGCCTGTTGTTTGGTGCCCTGGCGGGAACGGCTGCGAACTGCGTATCTTTTGACTCTTGGCTTCAAAGCTGTGTGTGGCCAAAATCCCTGAGCTCGCGCGGTGTGACAGGCAAACAGGCGCTGAAGAAGAGAACAGCAACCGATTCGTCCGACGTCAAGACATCGGCCTCGGAAGGGCTGACCCTGTACCCCTTGTTGAGGCTGTTTCTGATGGAGACGCTTGAGGCTCCTGATGCGAGCGTTGCGCCTGCGGTGCAGTCGTACTACGCGCTAAGCAGGGTTTTGGACTTGCTTGTGCGACTTCGAAATCATTCGGTAGACAGCTCTGAGCTTAGGGCAGCCATCAGCGCCCACTTGCAGAGGAGACTTCTGGTCTACGGACCATCTGCTTTTACGCCCAAGTGTCACTATGCGTTGCACTTTCCCTCGTTTGTGGACTCTCACGGCCGCTTGGTCGCGTGCTGGACGCACGAGCGTAAGCATAAGGAAGTGAAGCGGCACGGCAACCAGCTGGCCAACGCCAACAAGAGCTTGTCCTTTGAGAAGTCGTTGCTGTCTCAGGCAGTGCTTTCGCAGCTGCTGCACTTGAAGGAGTTCAGCGCAGTGGGGGGCGTGCAGTTGGTGGCTCCACAAGACGCGTCCAGTGACATCGCCAGCAGCATCATGACGTTTCTGGGCGAATATGCTCAAGCTCAGGTCAGCGCATCTTTGGAAGCCATGCTGAAGCATGGAGAGCTGTGCGCCAGGGGTGATGTGGTCCTTGCCCATTCTTCTGACGAAGGTAAATTTATTGGCATGGTGTGGTTTCATGTATCCATCTCCGGCGCTCATTTCACTTTGTTGGCAAAGTGGCACGCCCTGGGCAGAAATGTTTTCAAGATGCTGGATGCGCCGTCGTGGGTCGAGACCGTCAACGTGTCTAGGACTTGTGTTTATCGAGTACACAAGGACATGGTGCACGCAAGTGTGGCACCGTGAGCTGTGAAAAAGCCCTATAGCTGCAAGCTTCGCGCAGCCCTGCCATTTACTTTTCATGGTGTGTGGCAAGGGTCAAAGTTCTCCTCCCTCCCCAGCCCTTCCCCCCCCACCAGCCCCCGCACCTCCCCAACTCGACGCATTCCATCCCTTGGCCCGAAATCAACTCTATTTGGTGTTTGGGGGTTCCTTTGCATTTCCAATAGCTACACATGTCGGGTTTGGAGTTTGTGGTGCCCAGTCTTCATCAAGCTACACCCTATTGCAAGGCCCGTCAAAGTCCCCGCAAATCTGCCGCCGCCCAATCTAAATCATGACCCCTAACCAGTTGAGACTTGCAGGTTCCTATACTATTCTGACTCATACATTATAATTGGTTGGACACACATGCATGGTTTAAGCCGCTATAGAGAATCACATGAAGGGCTGAGTAAAGGATTAAAACATGGTGACATCGTGGGCGTATGCGACAGTGTTCATAACATTGAACCATGATGTTTACACTACACAAAACACATCCAAGTGTAGGGTTTGTGAGCAAACCGTTGCTTTGTTTCTGCACGTACCTATTATCGCATGGTTTATGTCCTGTGCAATGTGGGACCAGTTGTTGTTTGAGACCTCCCAATGTTCCGAAAGAATTCCCAAGAGGGTGTCCTCAGACAAAAGCAGCTTCCACCCACCCAACCAAACTTTCAAACACAACATTTCTGGTTGGGGCAAAGACAGTATAGCTTTGACAGCTAACCACGTGTTATTTGCATGGCAAAGCGTCTGTTTCCAACCCCAAAGCTGTTTGTTTGACCACTACCTCAGACCAAAACACATAGTCCAAAAATCGATGGGGCCCCCTTAACTCACCCTGCGTGCCCTTGCCGACCGATTCGTCATCCAGCCTGCGTGCAGGCTGCCGCAGCTGGCGCCAGAGCGGCGCCGCCAGTTTGGCTGTGGGTCAAACATAGGCACCTAAAATGGAACCCTGGTAAAGGGAACCCTGGACTAAAACCTGCTGGCCCCTAATGGTTTTATTTTGACCCTTCTGCATGTACTGTTTATACAAGCCATAGCAAGCTTTGGGGGGCCACTGCAACCTATAAACGATTGTGACTGATTACACAAGAGGGCTATTGAGGAAGACCGTTGAGGGCTATATATAGATGACCACTTCATGGTGTGCTCCCTATATGGCTATAAAGTGTTGGGCTTTGCTTAGACACCCAACCAACCGTACAAGTATAGGTTATAGCCATTTCTATGAAGGCTCTAGCTATATGGCAGGGGTTTGAGGCAATCTATCTTTTGAGCTGGTTGAGCATCCAAGGTGTGGGCCCAAAACGTAAATCTAAAGAAAACCAAAATAATTATAAAGCGTTTAACCGTACTCGCGGGGCTATAGAGAATATAGGCAAGCTGCTGGGGTTTCACTTGGGGAGACACCAACGTTGAAGAACTAAGGCTGTGTAAAAAATTGTCCTTGGAGTTGCACTTTTGGAGAAACCAAGTGCATGCTGGCTCAATCCGAGCTGAGACATGTGCTTCTAATTATTTGTCTTGCGGGGCTTTGGGAGTATTGAGTGTGACTGAGTGGCTCGTTTCAACTCGCGCCGAGAGTTATACACAATGGATGTGGTACGATTGAAAGCAACACAGCCAGTCCCGCGTTTTGCGACACTTCCGCCCCAGTTGCGAAAACAATCAAGTTGGGCGACGTGTTCAAAAAGCCATTGCTTCCAAAAAGAACTTAAACCGTGGGAGCCGGTTGGACTTATCCTACTTAGCTAAGTTGTACTTAGCAGGCCTGACCCAGCTCGCTAAGTTGAACTTAGCTAAGTACGTTTTTTCCTACTTAGCGCACTTGTGGCAAGTCCACTACGTAAGATAACATGTCTGCTATGTAGATAACAAGCCCAGCAACTACATAGCAAGCAGCGCGCCCATCCAAGAATATGGTCGGGAATGCAGGTTTGAGCACGACAAGAGCCCAAGGAACCCCGCTGCGCCCTCTACGCCGAGGACTGGCGATAGGCCCGTTAGGGACAAGCCTATGTTCTTCGGATACTGCTACGACTGGATGTATGGCAAATGCACAGCTCAGCCGTGCAAGTACCTGCATCAGAAGCCACCACCAGGCACGAAGCCCATTACGCCTCGTTCCACTGCTGGTCCGGTTGTTGAGGATGAAGAGGGGGATACCCCTAGATCGCCTACGCCCAGTCCTCCCGATAGGGAGGCGAGGCGTCTCGACAGCCCCGCTCAAGGATTGACGGATTTTTAGGCGGGGCGGGCCGTTACCCTGAGGCCAACCGTGTTGTTGTGGCGTGTCCAGCTATGTGGGCTGTTGCCCCAGCTACCGGTGGGTCTGCACCGGGTTGCCTCCCTCCTTGCGTTAGCAGTTGGGAGAAAAGCGAGCGAGGCGCATTGTTCTTCTCCGGCACTACCGGTGGGGGTCCTAAATGGGACCAAGTCATCTGGAGACGAACAGTTGACGCAAATGGGACCGTAATCGAGGATGTCGGGGTGAACTTTAGTGATCGCCGAGCAACCTTGTTCGGGAGACTCCCAAGACGAAGTGATATCAAGACGACGTTTTGGTATTGCGATGATGCGGAGGCTGTACTCTCCTGGAGGAACAAGTACTTCCCGAAGGGTCCCGGTAGGGAACCTCTCAGGGTCAAGATTCCCGATCTTCCTGATGTGTTTGTTGTCTCGATTGAGAATGACAATACGGGTAGGGTCGTGAATCGTTGCCGTGAGGCTGGATACAGCCATCCAAATGCGATTAAGTTCCCTTCGCGCAAGAGAATTGCTAGGGAAGTTCAAAGTGCTCTGATAAGAGCAGCGGCTGTTCACGCCCAAGTGCTCTTAGACAATGACGAGGACATCGATACCAACCCTGGTGATGTGCGGGGACATCGCGTTGTACGAAAGCCGAAGTACACTCAGAAGGTTGCTGCACCTGTTGGATACGATGGGGTGAGGTGGCTGGTAGATACTGGTTGCCCAATGGATCTGGTCGGTCTCGGTGATTTGAAAGGACCCGATAGGGCCCTGATTGCCAAAGGCGGGCACACTCATGCGCTGCACACTGCCAACGGGGCGACTCGCACCGCTGGTCGTGTTGATGCTGATGTTGGCAACCTGGACGAGGTGATTGAGGCGCACGTCCTTGAGTCCACTCCATCCATCATATCCGTTGGAAAACGTTGTATGGATATGGGATACTCGTTTGTATGGGCTGCAGGTTGCAAGCCTACTCTCACGTGTCCTTCGGGCCGGACGGTGACATTGGATGTCATCAACAACGTGCCATATCTTCCTCATGGTGACACTCAGTTCGTTTCTCCCACTCTTGATGATGCTGAGCCAATCCCTGCTATGCCTGCCCCCGGGGCGGCGTATCGAGGGCTTGAAACCAGCGAGATTCCGCTGTGTAGGTCTGAGCTTGCGGCCAAGAGTGAGCTACAGGACACCTGGCGCACTGAGCGGTCGGGCCATGTTGTGAAGGAGCACCGGCTTCCGCGCAAAGCAAAGTTTGTGCCGATAGGCGATGATTGCCCCGTTGGAGTTGATCGATTGGACAACTACAGGAAAACTGTCGTTCATCGAAATGGGGTTACCCATGAGGTGCTGGTTGATAGTCTATGGGAGTTATCCGAAAGAGATCAGCATGCGATAGCATCTGATGTCCCTTGGACGGGTGAAACGTGGTTTCGGGTCAAGTGCGAGACCGTTGCTCTTCCCGGAAAGGCGGAACAGGGGGGTGAGGGCGATAGCCACTCACCACCTTTTCCTGGCCCGGGGGAAGGGGATGATGGTGACATTGTCGAGATAAACTTTCTCTCCGGACTCCGCACAGAGGCTGAATGGCGGGCAGATGCTAGGACGCTTCGCCATATGCTTACCCATCTCCCGAAGAACCCCTATTGCCCGCACTGCCAGCGTGCGAAAATGGAGAATGTCAAGCTTCGCCGCAAAGGTGGTGCTGCTGCGCATGACGTGGTAAGTTTCGGGGACCTAACCACTGCTGACACGATGGTGTTGCGAGGATTGAAGGATCGAGGCTTTCATGGCGAAGCGGACGCGATAGTGTTCTATGACCTCGCTACTGACTACCTCGAAGTCCTCCCTGTGCAATCCAGATCCCGTAGCAATACGCTGGAGGCATTTCGCAGGTTTGCAGGGGGGCAAACTCTGAAGTTAGTGTACAGCGACCAGGCCCCAGAGCTGAAGAATGCTGTCACTACGCTTGGAGCATTGCACCGGCTTTCTACACCGGGCATGCCCAAGACCAATGGCCTGATCGAGAACAAGGTTAAGCTCGTTCTTCACGGGGCACGTGTGCTCCTGCGTCAAGCTGGATTTGAACCTCGATGGTGGCCATTTGCCGTTAGGCATTTTTCCATGGCAAGGAACATCGAAAATCGCGGTGAGGGATCACCGTGGATGCGACGCCACGGTAACGGGAACTTCAGCGGAGTCATTCTGCCGTTTGGTTGTCTGGTCGACTTCTACCCCATTGCTCCCAAGATTCGCAGGGATAGAAAGGGGGGGGTTCAAAACGCCCAAAACGACTCCAGACATGCTGGGAAGATCGACTCAGAGGACGTTGATGAAGGAGGAGACCACTGGATCGCAAATGAAGACGAGAAGGTTCTCACTCGCGTCCACGTTGAAGCGCGAACCGAGCTCTTTATCCCGATAGGGACGAGCTGTCCAGTCAAGATCAAAGACCTTGGCAGGAGGCGGAGCACAGTCCTCAACTATCTTGACGGATCGACCGAATTCGTTGTTGACGAAAACTGGCTCCAGGCCGAGAACGACCGTGGAGGTAACCACGAATGGACTGGAGAAACTCATTTCGACTGTGATTTTGATCGAGTCGATGAGGATGAGGCCGAGATCTATGAGAACGAGGAGTATGAACCCGAATGCAACGACGAACCGGACTTTGTTCCCATTGATGAGGTAGGGGTTGAAGAGACAAGCGTCACTACTGCCCTGCC